ACCTCCAGCTGACATGTTTGTTGTTGACTCTATCAGGAAGGCGACCTACTGGTGTGCTGGAGCATAACGGAGTATGCACACGTGTAATCAGATGTTAACAGAATTGAATTGAATAGATCAACCCTAATGTCACCAATCCAGCTGTTTGAGTCAGTGTGGGCCTGATATCTGATTGGTGCAGAAAAACAAGAAAACTTTTATTAATGAGGCCCATTGTATGGGGCTGGTGTGTTTTGGATTTCAGACAGCTATGCTGATCAATCAGAATCAAATCTATTGATACATTCCTTTAGTGCAGGAGTGCTAGCACATCTGCCTCTGGTCATACTTTGTCCTAGTCAGCCAGATGAAAGTGTGTGTTGGAGCCACTGAGAGTGTGTGTATGCTTGTTTCCAATAAAACACATTTAAAGGATGCTTTGTTATGACCTGCTGAGAGTCGTCCAGGCAGCAGCTCTGCCGCTATGCATTTCATTTAGTGTGTCTGCAGCAGGGGTTGTGGGTAAGCCGAGTTCTCTGGGTTCATTTTTTTCCCTCTTCTTTCAGTTTTATTGTTCTTTGTTGGCTTGGAAGGCCTACAAGATCGAGTCACCTTTGGGTAATAACTGGGTCAAGTTACGCGCGAGGCGGCCAACACTGTCCTGCATCTGTTCGAGTAGTCAGCCAGTCTGTGTGTTCATGCGCTGTACACAAAACCACAAACCATGACTGTGCACAAAATAAAGTGTATAGGCTCTATACATGAAAAAAAGACGGACATAAGTCTATCCATCTGTGGTGTCAGACATCTTAAAGGATATAACCCACTGGGTTTGGAGGTTGGGTGCTCAACATTGACCGGTCCCTTGTGTATTGATTAACTTTATTTTTTAATAAATAAAAGTACAAGGGTGTAACAACAAGGGTGAGAGGGAGAAAGAGTCGTGGAAATGAAAGTGGAAAAAAAGGTCAGAATTACCTTTAGTTAAAAAGTGTTGCATCATTAAAGAAATATCATAATCCAAAACAGATGTTTGCTATTATTTATATTACTTAAATTTCTTCTGTCCTTGTCTGCCCTGTGTGAAACTCGACAAGGTTAGTGTGTACCTGTTATTTACCAAATGTCCTGAAAATGTTAGAAGAAGACAATATTAGATCTAGAAATCCTCCAAAGTGAGGATTGCTTTGGCAATCTCTGAATTGGTACTACTAAAGCAGCATAGCGTTGCATTGCCTTTTTTCCGTTTATTTTTGTAGATTTTTGTGTCGAGTCTAGATCTGATTCCGATGAATGAGGAGGCTGGGTAAAGTCGGTCTGAACGCTGCCTCAGCAGGATTGAGTGTGCAGCAGGTGCCAATACATCTGCTCCAGGCGTCTCATTTGTCGCAAGTGATAATTAATATTGACCATTGAACAGTGGCGGGCCGTGCATTTTATACCTGGGCCTTCACTGCTGTCCTGCAGCTGAAATACCACTTTATAATCTCATTATGGCGCCACAGCTATTATAGATTTTTGGGCTGTAACTATATACGTAGTTGTATTAAACCGTTCGGTACAAGTCTTACTAACCGAACAATACGTTTGAATAATACTAGTGCATTAGGGAGATGCAGGAGCATAAATTAAGAGAAATACAATGTTTTCAGCGCTCAGGTGGGACACTGGTTCTCAACTGGTCTGACTGTGGGACCCACAATCACCACTTAATGACAAGCCACGACCCACTCTTCTCTTTTAGAGACTGTCTTATGATTTTACTTTCACAATTCATGTATTGGACACACTGCTCTGCTAGGTCTTTCCTCGTCTCAGCCCCCTGTGTCACGGTGTGTTTACATCTCACTCGAGTCAGGAAACTTGTCAGAATGCCCATATTTGATTGGCTGAACTGCATCACGTGATGTGATTCACAACGCATTGGTCGGTTCCGTAAATGCTGGAATAAGGCCGCTGCATAAAAAATATATTTCACAATTAAAGCACAAGATTTGAAACCGGGTCCGCGACCCACCAGTTGAGAATCACTGGAGACAATAGTCTGTGTGACTTCTGAACCGGAACAAATTAAACCACAACAAAAAACAACCGGGGCTCCGCAAGTGTTCTGGGAGGCTACGCTAACTAGCTTAACGGGAAAACAGCAGCAACACGCATTCTGCTACACACTCAAGGGCACGGGCCATTCAGATATTAGATGTAAAAAAACAAACGCAGTTGATTTACCAAACTCCATGCTCCTTTCTTTGTTGACGAAGAGTTTAATCCCACGGTTAAATACCAACTCACTAATCCGTTTCTCCTCCTCCTTCAGCCATTCAGTGTTAAAAAAACAAAGCTCGGTAAAAAAAAATAATAATCTACACCAAGCAAAATGTAAAAAATGTCATCATTTCTTCCATATCTTTCAATCTGAACTCTCACTACTCTGGCGAAGCCTCTGCTGTTACATTTCAGTCACGTGCTCGCCCACTGGCCAATCACTGCACACGCTGCACCTCACTGCAGAGCTGCACATGGAAACTGAGCTGCATTGGTTGAACACTGACAATCAACAATATCGTCCCCATTCACTTAAACTGCTCAGGGATGCACTTGTGAGTCTGCAGGCCTCGGGCCTCTCTTCTTACCTAGAGACAGAGGTGAAATCTGATTGGATAAAAGCTCTACTTAAAACAAGATGCACTGGAAGCAGAGCAACTGAGGAAGACAGTAGCTGTGCAATGAGAAAATAAGATAATGGGAAAAATATTTTTCTAAATTACAATACATTTAGTGTATTTATGAAAAAATATTAAATTATAAAATAGCTATAACTTTGTGATTCTGTTTAGGCCAGCAGAGAAGGCTTTGCAGGCCCTGACGGCCCACCACTGCCATTGAAATAATAACTGGTTAATGCCTGATTAATTATGAATTATGATCATGATACCTGAAGTTGTGTATCAGCGGATACTGAGTTCCAATGCGATACCAGTGCATTAAAAAACAAAAAAGTTAAACAGGTTATGATTCCCTCTCTAATACCTATTTTATATTGCTGTAAAAACCACCTCGTACGTCAATGTCGGCTTGTAAAGGCCCGGGGTGAAGGTGGCTCGCGGTTCCGACCTTGAGCTTTACAGCAGCCCTCACCTGGACCTCGCCGCCTCCCGGGGCCGTGGTGCTCACTGTGCCCTCTCTCTCTGAGGGAAGAGCTCAAAAACAATGGTTTCACATTAGGCCTAGGTTGCAAACTCGGTTCTAACTCTGCAGTGTGCCTTTTCATCGTATTTAGCTCTGATGGAACCATAGTGATTATAGATCGAAGGGTTTGCCGAGGAGACTAGCATAGCTTGCTATCCAAAACATGCATCTTGTCATTCGCTGGTCAAAAATCTTGTAACTCCATTTGAGCTTGATAACATAAGAATTCATGCAAGAATTCTTTGAAAATAACGGTCACTTTTGTATTAATTTGATATTTAAGCAACACATTAAAAAGGAACTGCACTCTGGGGGGTGCCTGTCTGAGAAAATGATCCGGGTGTTTGGTCACATGTTGGATATAAACTAGTGTGTATCTGTGGTTGTTGATGAACACATCAGGACAGCTGTTACTCACTGTCACAGGCCAGAGGATGATTCCTCTTGAGTCACTCGAGCAAAGAGGAGAGACGGACACAACTCCAGGTCAAGTCTCAAGTCAATCAATGTAGTCTCATGAAGTTCTAATGCTCAGGTTTTGTTGAAACAGTTTCAGAGAGGTTTTGGAGGCTGTAGTTTGTGGTGCCATTGAGCTGTATCAGTGAGGGCAGGATAAATATCAGAAACTCATCTCCGTATGATGCAAAACAGTTCTGTGTCACCACAAAGTAAAATTTTGTTGCAACAAAAAACAGATTCAACAAAAACTGAACATTAGAACGTTCATGAAGGGAGAGCTCACTACAGGACTGTTGTATTAGACTGCATTAGTTTAGATCTGTCTACCTGATCAAATGACAACAGACATGTGTGCATATAATCAATCAGCAAATACATTACGAAAAGACTTTAAAGCACTCTGACGTCATTGGAGAGAAGTCCAAAATTGCTTGTCAAGTCAGTAGTGTCCATAAACCAGTGGTGGGCCGTCAGGGCCAGCAAGGCCTTCTCTGCTGGCCTAAACAGAATCACAAAGTTATAGCTATTTTATAATTTAATAATTTTTCTTAAATACATATGTATTATAATTTAGAAAAATATTAGTGCTGGGCAACGATTACAATTTTGATCGCGATTAATCACATGATTTTTTTGCGATTAATCGCATTGTTATGCGCAAAGTTCAATAATGAATTCAAAAGTAGTGTATTGCGCACTTTTATTTTAAAAGTACTGCTATATGCAATAACATTTGGTTTGCAAACACTTTAAACAAATAAGGTTATTTTCAACAGCAGTATTCCCTTTACACAGTAGCAGTTATAATACAGTTATAATGATTCTGATAATAGATATTCAGCCGGTGTTCACAACTTTATCTTCATGTGTATAAGAGATGCAATTTTGAAATATACTCGAAATACTCTGCAATACGTTGAATGTGTTGTGCAAGAATATTGCATCATGCAGAGATGATGTGTTGTACAGCTGGTGCAGGAAGCTCCAAACAGGATATCGGATATTTGGACGATACTGACACAATTAGCTGGATCGAATATCGAGGGGCCGACCTATTCAATTAATTTCTATGTTTATATACTATGAACATTATTTACTGTAATTTGTGTTCAATGTTTAATTGTATTAAAAGGGTTTACACTTGAATTGTAATCTCTCTTAATTTTTAAGATTTTTTTACTGAAAATCTACTGGCCCAAATACCGCCAAAGAAGAACGCATTTAATTTGGGGCTGTTCCAAACGTTGGGCGAACACAGATTCTTTTCCACCATGTTATCATTGTGATATGCGAAGTAGGGTCTTTAGCCTTAGCGGATTCTACTCTCTGAGTGTCCTTGATGTTGCAGTCTGTTGATGTTCTTCTCCTCTCAGGTATCGGAGGTCTGGAGGAGAGCGTCTTGAAGTCGGCCACCCTGTCAACCTCCCCTGCCTGTCCGCCCTTCATCCCACTCAACTTTGAGGCCACACCCATTGTTCGGGTTGCCATAGAACCCAAACATCCAAGTAGGTCTTGGGAGGCACACACAAACCGAGTTAGCTTTTGACTTTACATATTTCACATCATAAAGATTTTTGGTCTTAGAATAATGTATTGAATTGGTAACATCTGTAGACAACATACACCACACTAATAATTTCATTTATTTGAAGAGGTGCATACTGATCACAGTGTGCCCATATGCAACACATTCTCACTCCAATGTGTCAAATATTGCCACTTGCTCAGTGGCCCTAAGCTTCAAAATGTGATGCTCTACGTTCCCCTCTAGCATCCAAGTTGGACGTGTGAGAAACGGCTTGTCAATATACGCGTGTTACATGCATAGTGCCTTTTCAAAATAAACTTCTGTCTTTATAGGAAGTTCAGTTTAGGCAACAAAACCACTGAGTGAGTTTTAGGAAAAGAGCGTGGTTGATGTTAACTTGACTGACCAATGTACTCGCTGACAGTTTTTGAAGCTCCCTAACAAAAGACCCAGATTAGAGGCTGATCCGCATTGACTCAGTGCTCAAGCACTTTGTGTGAACTGTTCAAAGATGTGAGCCTAGCGTCTTAAAGGTGCATCCAGACGCATTCCAGATATCTAGCATTCTAAATATGTGGATGTGTTGGGGAGCTACAGCCAAAGAGAGTGAAAGACATGGGTTGGGATGGGTTTAGTACTTACATTTGAGTACTTGCTGATTCAGAGTACCTATATGAGTACTTAACAACACCATTACATTTCCAACAGTAACTTTGTTGCTGACATTTTAACATTCTACATTGTGTCAGATACAAACAGAGCATAGTTCTTTGCAGTAGGGATGTTAATATTAACTGTTTAACCATCGGTTAAACAGTTAAAATGATATTAAAAATCATAAGCCGAGCAAACCTAGAGGAGCGGCTTGTCACATAAAGAAGAATGGTGCTGGTCCACCTTAAAGGTCAGCTCACCATAAGTGCGCCGGAACAGCTGCTAACTTCCGGGATAACAGACTTCACTTTAATCATCAGCTGGCTGACATGGGAGACATGGTACTTAGCTTGGGTCTCCTCACGGTACTTGAGGAGTTGTAGCATTTACTCACCGACAAACTGTACACACACTGAACTGCTACGTTCACAGCTGTAACTTTACTGCTGACGTCATACTCGTCGTCACACACAATGTCTCTCTCTCGGCCGGACACTGGCTAACGTGTTGTGTTGCATTTGCATCACGGACGTGTTGGATGTTTGCATGGATAAACACAACACTTAACACAGTGACTGATCGACATCAGGCAAATGATGTGTGGAAACAGGTTGTAGGTTGTAGTGTGAAAACCACAATGACTTCAAGAGTCCTGATTAAAGACAGCAGGATGTGTAGTGTGAACAGTACAGCGGTCTGACACCTTTGAAAGTGGAGAAGTGTGAGCTTGGCTTAACGACTCATGTGAGCCATGTGGCTAACGACAGATGCAACAAAATGTCAATGTTTTCCTTTTTCACCGGACATGAACAACTGTCTCCTGGGTGAAAATCAATGCAATTTCAATTCAATTAATTTGTATAGCCCAAAATCACAAATCTGTACAACATTCTCTGTCCCAGGACATCTTGCATCGGAAAAGGAAAAACTCCTCCAAAAAACCCTTCAATAGAGAGAAAAAAAAAGGAAAAAAGTTAACCATAGGGAGAGAAACAGGATGGACAGAAGTGCAATAGATGTCATGTGTACAGAATGAACAACATAACAGACTTAAAACAGAAATTATTCATATGATGAGAGTAGTAAGTATAATAATTATGGAAACATAACAAAGAAATGGGACTGAAGTCTTGTTTGTTTGACCCATCCGCCTCCCTGTGAGGATCACATTCATTCTACTTCATCAGTTGATCTGAGCGTCTAATATTGATGTGACTGTTGTTGGGAACGAAAAGGAGCGTGTTTGAGTTATCAGCAAATATGAAAAACTAAATTGACATCAATAGAATTATTAATGTCAGTAAGATTATGAACAATTATTAATAATAACGGGGCACCACCCTGCGAACAGGGACCAATAACCAAACTATAAACTAAGTATCATAATTAGTATTCACTCACAATGTCAATGGTCAAAGTACTATTTCACATTCAGAGTGACAGTTAAGGTTGAGTTCGAGCAACAGGCCACATATCAGCTATAATCACAATACACATGCACAAAGTAATCACAGACAGTTGCTCTTTAAAGTATGACAGAGTTTATTAAGTTCCAATAATATTGATCTAGTCAACTAATATCTAAAACTAACAACTATACATTAATGAGCACACTAACAATCCACATATAGTGAGAAGCACTGACCAAGTGACGTTACTGGATGAGTTGGGAATGAGAACGGGTTGCCATTTACATGTTATGTTCTCCTGTGGTACATGTATTGGCATGCTGAAGTCTATTTTACGTCATCAAATACACAGTAAATAACTTTATACCGAGGGGAAATTATTGTGCAGCAGTTCCAGTACAAAGAAGGGAAGGGTGCAAATATAAAATATTAATTAAAGCTGCGAGCAGCGATGAACGGGCCCTCGCAATCTGCAGCGCGTCGGGGGTGCTGGCGGGACTCCGGCCTGCACGTCCGAGAACATTCGTGACCGTCGGACGGCGCGTCCGTGAGCGAGACGTTTTTAATCCCGAGTGGACCGCCTGATACTGGAAATGATGCTTTGCAAATAGTCCGATGCTTCCTGTATCCGCTGCCTGGCACTACAGAACACGTGCAAACATCCTCAGGCCATGAGTGTTATCAAGCATGTGAAGTTTGAGACTGTTTGGAGCAAGTCCAGCTGAGTTACATCAGCTTTTTCATGGGGAATCACGTAAAGTAGCCGCCTGCTACGGCTAAACGATTCCGTCAAACGTAAAGCTTTTGATAACCTTTAATCACAATGGTCTTGAGATTGGACTGACCAAATTTGAAGAGGATCAGACAAATTCCCTAGGAGGGGTTCATTAAAGTATAGCGACTAGAAATAGGCCACATTCTATGGAAAAATGACACACAAATGAAATTTGCCGACTTCTGGTAGGGTTTAGAGCATGGTCCCAAGAGACTTATATTTAAGTCTCCATAGGATACATGTATCTTACAAGTTTCATACATGTAGCTCAAATGTAGCGCTGGGGCTGCTCTTTTGAAATATTGTAGGGGGCGCTATAGAGGCAATTTAAAACGGACAAGCCTAAAAGCCATATACAATATGTCTTCCTATGACACGTGTACAAAGTTCCATGAGTTTTTGAGCATCCCAACCCACTAAACCATCAGCTTCCTTTTTCATGGCGAACGATGCGTCGCCACGGCAACAGCCTTCAACGAAAACGCATAATATTCATGATGATGCATCATCAATGTCTTAAGGCTATCCGTACCAAATTTGAGACTCATCAGGTCACCTGGCTAGGAGGAATAAAGAAAAGTATAAAATATGACATTTCCTTTAGCCAGTAGGCGGCGCTATGAGTTATTGAATTTTTTTCAATTGAAGTATGTTCAGGCTTGAAATAGCATCATGTATAAGAAGTTTTGTGCGGATTGGATAATGTACCTTGGAGTTATAACAATTTATAAGAACTTATTTTTTCAAAAACAATGAGGCAAAATGGCCACCACGCCACGTCAAGGTTCTTCGATGAAAGCGCGCGATTTTGATAACTTTTAATCACAAAGGTCTTAAGAGCATCCTGACCAAAGGAGAAGTTGATCGCATAAATTCTCTAGGAGGAGTTCGTTAAAATACGAAGGCTGAAATCTGCAAAAAGTGACAAAAAGCACAACTTTGCGGGTTTGCTGTAGCGCCCCCCTAGTGGTTGAATGCAAAACAAACCTCAGGGTATGTTACAGCATGCGATGTGCACATATGCTGCAAATCTTGGAATTTTAGGACAAACGGTTGAGAAGTTATGTGTATTGATATTAAGCCACGCCCCTAAGAAGTTTATTGGTCCATATTTTGTAAACGCTAAGAGTTATCAGAAAGTTTTTGATAGCTTTTGATGAGGTAGATCCAGTAATGATCCACAGCAAATTTGGTAGCAATCGGACCCAGCATGTAGGAGGAGATTGCAAAAATGTGTTTTTCATTAAATTCAATATGGCGGAAAATCTAAGTAGGCAGAGCTTAGGGGTCTGAGAGGCTTTTTTTTAGATCTAGCGGAGTTGGACATGTTTGTCACGCACGGCAAGTACCCCCAATATGCTCCCAAAGTGCAAAAATAAGAATCACGAAAAATAATAATAACCCCTACATTATCAATAGGGCCTTCGCAGGCCCGACGTTGTCTGTTGCTCGGGCCCTAATAATACCCCTAACAATTTCAATAGGGCCTTCGCAGGCCCGACGTTTTCGGTTGCTCGGGCCCTAATAATACCCCTTACAGTTTCAATAGGGCCTCACTGGCCCGACGTTGTCGGTTGCTCGGGCCCTAATAATACCCCTTACAGTTTCAATAGGGCCTCGCTGGCCCGACGTAGTCGGTTGCTCGGGCCCTAATAATACCCCTTACAGTTTCAATAGGGCCTCGCTGGCCCGACATTGTCGGCTGCTCGGGCCCCAATAATAACCACTACAGTTTCAATAGGGCCTTCGTAGGCCCGACGTTGTCGGTTGCTCAGGCCCTAATAATAATACCCCTTACAATATCAATAGGGCCTTCGCGACCCGACGTTGTCGGTAGCTCGGGCCCTATTAATGTGCCATTCCAAAACCAAAGAGCTTTTAAGTGTGTAGACAGCAGCTCAGTGAGTGTGCATGTTGGTAGACTCCAATGATGACATTATACAAACTGGATATGCTCCTGATGTACAGACGGGGCAGGCTTTGCAGGGACAGAACTCCTGGTAATAAAATGCATCCTGTGTTCACAACAAGGACAGAAAGCTCTAAATGCTGTTTTGCATCAAAACTGTTCAACAGTTAGTAAACGGTTCTGAGAGTTAGCCATTTTGTTCAGTGTTCCAGAACGCACTGTAAAAGCAGTGTAGACCGTTGTTCATTAAGCTCACTGTCGGGAAATCACATTCTGACACATCTGCTTCTTTAGACGACACTCACAGCAACGTGAAAGTTCATTCGCTGGTCAAACAATAGACAGTTTTTTCTCCTTTCCAACTGTTTCTTTTGTGGTTCATGTTTCATCATTGAAATGCATTATGGTGCAAATACTGTCCACTCAATTATATGATCAGACCATTCATGTTGTTATACGTAGTAGAAGTCAAACTCAAATAGCGTTGGGTCGATTGATTGACTTACTGATGGCCATGTGACTGGCTGAGAGTGTATTTCTTGATCACCACACCCTTAAATCTATCTTCCACTTCACTCAGCCATTTTGGACTTTGTGCTGCTGCATATTCATGAACCAAAATAGAGCAGGTCGTCCTTTAACCAGGAGCTTGGCTGTTGGATCCACAGCTCCTACTGTCCTTCAGTGAGACACTGAACCTTTACTGCAGCCCGCTGCTCCCATTGCTGAGGATGGATTAAATGCAGAGGTCACATGTCATCTATGTTATGATGGTTGTAATGAAGTTTAGGTTTTGAAGTTTAAGTCTGTGATGTTTTTTGTGTTGACACTATTAAAGTAGACCCCTTCATCTTGTTGGTTGAAATTTGCTGTCATCTTTTTGTGTTCTTTCATGTACATGAATACATACTTATATAATGAAGGTATATTGCACTGGACAACTCACGTACTGCAGGTGGCATCTGTGGTGTGATGAAGCGATGTAGTTCCTTGAGAAAAACACTATATATTTTTTTCAATTGTTACTTTTAATCCCATTTTCGCTCAAATTTTTTTTCTCACAAATGTATGATGTTATAAATACTATCCTGAGAGGTTTTTTTCTCAGGATAGTATTTATAGTAGTAACCTCCCTAGGCTTCGTAATTCTTTTGTTGTTTTTTACCCACTATTTCCCTAACATGCAGTTGTACAATAAACTACTAATTCAGACTAATGAAACCATATTGGTTATGTGTTTGTGTGCTAGGTGAGATGCCAAAGCTGGTGCGTGGGATGCGTCTGTTGAACCAGGCAGATCCCTGTGCTGAGGTTCTGATTCAGGAAACAGGAGAACATGTTCTGGTAACTGCTGGTGAGGTTCATCTCCAACGCTGCTTGGACGACCTCAGAGACCGGTCAGTGTGTGTGTCATCTCCAAATGTCTCTTTATCTCTGCCTGTGTCCCTTGTGCCAAAGTCATGAGAAATGAAATGAATTAAAGCCCTGTCTACTTCATACTCGGATTAAGAGAGAGGCTGAGCACCATCATTATCCAGCCATCATCACATATTGACCGCTGCCTCTCTCTGTCGGTACGATGCAGGCCTCCACTGATAGACTAGCAGATAGATTTTTAGAAAGTTTTCTCAGTAACAAATTTGGTTTTGTCCTCGTGTCACTGTTGTGCTCTCATATGACAATGCAAATTCAGTTAAGAGGCAGGTTTCTTGCTGTTTCCAGAAAAGCTTTATTTGAGACATCTAAAACACCGGCCCTTCCCGTAACCTTGTATTTATTGGGCAATACATTGCTCCCTCCTACTTCTGAATTCAATGAAAATACAGTAGATTCAACCAAACATATGTGGAAGTGAGCAGAGACACCGAAAGACACATTAACTGAAAGTGAATGATTCAATGGAGCAGGTTTTTCTAAAGGATCTCTCTTATTTGGCTTCACTCAATGGCTCCCAGATCCTGCCTCACCATGCTTCATCAGACCAACGTCGTTACTACAGTAATGGTGCCTTGTTTTCACCTGACCTATTGCTAGAGACTTTTGTCAATCACCTCAGAGAATATTTTTCCTCCTGCGCTCAGGCTGCTTTCAGAGCTGTTTGGCAAACTTGAAGTGGCTTCTAATATGACTTTTATTCAGGAGTGACTTCCATCTAACCACTCAATTGGAGAGGCCTGATTGCTGAGAGCCACAGAGATGGATGCCCTGCTGTCAGGTTCTCCTTTCCCTGCAGAGGAACCCTCATACTTTTATAGTTCTCATTTGCTTCTTGGTCACCTCACTGATGAAGGCGCATATTGTATTTGAACTTGAACCAAGCTTTATGTCCTGTGGCAATTAGGACCGAGAGCTTGCTCCTGTGGCAATTATATCAGGTCTGGTGGAAGTCCTGTTTTTTCATAACATGGTGGCTGCTTTTGCCCAGAAACTGATGAAATAAAAAATAGTTTTTAAGACAACTTACTGGGTGAAAACAGGGTTTTTTGTGGCGAGAGGTGTGCAGCGCACCCGGAGTGTATCTATGGCATGGTATGACCATACATTATTGGGTGGTTCATTAGCGGCTGGTGACGATCATGGCCGATCATGTCCGTGCCTTTCATTCTATTTTAAAAGCCCCCTCTTTTCCTACCATTACACTGTCAATTTGGTAAGTGAGTAGATAGTCGTGACTAACTACGGTTCCCATGCAGAGTGTGTAGCGCTGCACCTGTGCAACAAGTGATAATCCAAATATATTTTGTATTAGAAATCATGTTCTTGTACATTTAAACATCTGATAAGGGTTAAATCAAGTCCTGTCACCAGAAAAACAACAGCATTTTAACAATACACGTGACTTTTTATGGGCTTGCAAATACTTTCTCAGAAGAAATGGTAGAAGTAGCTCGTCCTTATAATGTCACAAAAGATTTTGAGGGCATGATTCACATCCTGAATTCTATCTCCACCTATCTTTAACCAAGTCATCTTAGGGCCCTTTCACACCTATCATGTGTGGTCTGGACTTTCAGAATTTTTAGTTTGATCTGAACCGAAATTACAGGGGTGAAACCCTCTCGGACCAAGGTCCAGACCAAACAGCCAAGCGTCTGATGTTAAGAGGTGCTCTCGGTCCAGAACAAACTGAACCATATTTTGGTTCGTTTTTTTGTCTGAAAACAGTTTTTTAATGTGATACGGACTTTCCGGTGTGAAAAGGCACTTAGTTGCCTAAACCTAACTAAAACAAAAAGATAAAACTGACTAGCGGCAAGATGTAGACTCAGTCAGATGTCTAATGTGTGTGTGCCTGTTGTCCCTCCATGCTGGCTACAAGAAAGAAAGTATGAATTGACCGTAACCTGGTAAACCCTAGCCTTATCCCTCAGAACAAAAAGCCCAAAATAGTATACCCAAAATGAATCAGGAATAGCTCCTCAACTATATGGCTAAGATGAATATTTCTGTTCTCCTGAAAGCTAGGGTTAGGGATGCAAAAAATAATATTTTTATCCTCGCCTATAGTATGTAATCAAAATTGTAAAAGCCATGTCAACATTATAACCAAGATGTATGCATAATGAGGGCGACTGTGGCTCAGTGGTGGAGCACGGTCGTCCTTCAATCAGAGGATCGGCGGTTCGATCACCGGCTCCACTTGTCCATGTCGATGTGTCCTTGGGCAAGACACTTAACCCCATATTGCTCTCGTGTTCCTGTGGTCTATGAATGGGTAAATGTGTGAAGCGCTTTGAGGGGTTGGAAGACTAGACAAGCGCTATACAAGTACAGTCCATTTTCTGTTATCATAATTATGCAACTGAATGTCTTCTACTACTCTTTACTACAACTGTGATTGTAAAGTTGATTAAAAATACGCTAAAATACACCATTTATCATAACAGTTATAAAGATGCACTCAGGCGGTTTTGACCATGTTTACTGTTTATAAGTTGGCTGTTTATGGGAATTTTATTGCAAATCTCCATTTATTTCCATATAGCAATGTTTCAAATAACATAAATAAACTAGTGCTGGGCAACGATTACAATTTTTAATCGCAATTAATCGCATGATGTTCTGCGATTAATCGCATTGCTATTCAATAATGAATTCAAAAGTAGTGTATTATACATATTCCATACAAAAACACTTTAAAAACTCTAAAAAAATAATTTGAATGAATCATTTCTTTTTTGGTATTTTGGTCAGACACATATGCAATGCTGATTACCGTAATATGTGTGGTATTTGTTATGTACGTTGGTACATAGAGGGTGATAAGAAGCTGTACATGGAGGGACTTAGGACCCAGGGGAATGTAGGTGAAACATGGGAACCTGGAGGGAGTCTGTACCGTGGATGTTATGCTAATAAAGAGTTGCCGTTTAGAGCAGTATTGATCAATATTAAAGAGCTCCATGCTATACAGATAGTTGAATGGAGAATGCAAAGGCCAATAGTGCTCTATGAGTTATTCCCAGGTTTGTCTAAGCAAGCTGAAGAGAATGATATACAGTGAGTTGGTGTAATTACTGTGATCCAGACCACACTGCCTGTGTAAGCAGCATGTGACATGTTCTACAGATTCTACAACATTTCTCTTCATCTCTTTAATAGTTTTGTCTTTTAGCAACATTTCTCTCCATCTCGCTAATAGTTTAGTCCAGAGGTCTTCAACAGGGGGTCCGCGACCCCTAGGGGGTCCACAGAGGTACTGTAGGGGGTCCACGAAATATTTGGTTGATTGGACAATTTTTTAAAAATTATTATTTCTTTTTGTTTTTTTCAAAATAGTTCAGTATTGTATGCAAGATAACAGGTATCTTCATGCATGGCAGTGGCACTAATAGGCCATCACTCATTTTTCATTTCCACATTTATGTTTAAAATGAAAACATCAATTTCAATAGCTTGTATGTATGATTATCATGCAATTGACAGACAATGTTGATATTGGCATTGGTATCAGTTGTTTATAAATGGCAGTGCACAGCCACCCTACTCACTGTACCTTGCACATGTTTAAAATAAAAACATGAATATATGAACCTGTGTATTATTTGAATAGCTTAGTATTGAATGCACAATAAAGAGGCATGTTTATACATGGCACTAGGCCCAGTTTAATATAAAACACAATTTTATACAATATATATAGTCGGGGGTCAGTTTGGGGGTCCTTGGCCTGAACTCACTCCTCTTCCTAACCTCCGCTGTCATTGTGTTTATCATAAACTAAAAACTGCTGTTTATTTAGTTTGTGCTCACATTAGAATGACATTCAGTTGTTTCTATCATTCCCCCGCTTTGGGAGCTGAACAATAGTTTCACTTAGAACTGATCGCTACTAAGACGCATATTTCAGTTGGCATCCCTAGTCCACAACTATTGTAAAAAGGCTTTACATTATTAGACAGTTATCGGCTGGAGTTCCATTGGACGATTAGCGTCTTTGATATCATGGTTTGATAGCAGTGGAAAAATCATCCCGGTGGCGGTCAGTCGCTTTGTCATCTTTGTAGCTGCTCGGTAAACAGTGGAATGCTACGTGGTAGATAAGCTTCTTCTTTCCTTGGTTGTCTTCCGGTCTGATCGCATTTTAGTGATTGGTCACCACAGTGTGACGTCAACTTGCGTTTCTCCAAAAGTTGATTGTGTTTACATTTTTTGCTGCAGCACAGCTGTGGTCCTTACAGCCTAAAGTCACTACCCACACTCAAATGATGGTCGCCACGACGCCTGGTTTGGTGTAAATCCGGCCCTTAAAATGTATTTTATTCTCAGTTCTCAGGTTATATATTGAGTAACTTAAGTTTTTATAAAGGTAATACATGACAATATCAAAGTGGCATGAAGCTGATGGTAGACAATGGAGATCAAACTATCATTAGTGTCAATAACAGGATTTTCACTTGTCTTTTTGAAGGTTTGCTAAAATTGAGATCAGCGCGTCCAAGCCCATCATTCCATTCAGAGAAACAGTGGTACGTCCTCCAAAAGTGGACATGGTGAATGAAGACCTGGGCAAGCAGCATAAAGTAGCCATCATTCACCAGGTCAGTCAACCGCACATTCATTGAACTGTAGTCCACGTCGATATAGAACCCGTTCATAGAAAGTTTTCTGTTGCAGTTGTTTTTACAGTTGTGTGTTGAAGTTTACATTAACATGGTGGAATCATTAGGAGAATTTGGCAGTTAGAAGGAGCCGTGGAGCAAGAAGCAACATTTACATTGAGCAGTTGTCTCTCAGTTCAAATGATTGGTTGTCATATAAGTGTGTGTGTGTGTGTGTGTGTGTGTGTGTGTGTGTGTGTGTGTGTA